CCAGCTGCTGGCTTCCATGATGACTGTGGATCCACAGCAGCGCCCTCGCATTCCTGCCCTCCTCAGCCAGGTGGAGGCACTGCAGCCCCTGCCTCCTGGCCAGCACAGCACCCAGATCTGAAGTGAGAAAGGAGACCCTCGTGCCTTGGACAGAGGCTCCTATGCCTCTTCAGAACCTCCATCCAGTGTGCCCAGGAATGTTCTAACTGGGGACAGGAAGGAGAGGGACAGTCTTCTGCGTCCTGCACCTATACGCCTGCTCTCTGGCCTCCAAGGGCAAACCACGGGGCAAGGCGCCAGGCTGAGTCGGGCTGGGATGGGGGGAGAAGGGAAGCTTGTGGAAAATGGTAGGTAGCTCTGAGCAGGACTGCTGAGCCCACATCACGGTGGGCCTCCTAGCCTGGGAGCAGAGTGCATTTGCCCACAGAATAAAGCGAAAAGCCTGCTGGCATGGGTCTTCATTTCCTTGGCACTGCAGTGAAAGAAAAGGGGCCAGAAACCCGAAGTGGGGTGGTGGTCATTCCCAGGGGAACTGCGTGGGGAGGACCGGGTGGTCAGGAAAGGCTAGACTTCACTCTGCAAGGAGGCAGCTGGCCTGCCCTTTGAGTTAGCTGGAGGGGAGTAGGAGTGACCCCCACCCCCACCCCAAGACCTCCCCCAGAGCTTGTCTTAGCAAAAAATCTAAAGCTGTTCCACTTTTGAGCTGGCTTCTTTCTGGCCAGGAACTGGACCAGGGCCCCCCTAACAGGACTCAACTAGCTCTTCCCTTTCCTGCTCTGTAGGGGGAGGGGGGGGGCCAGGGATGAGGAGATGGGTAACTTGGTCAAAGCAGCCCAGCCGGTTTGCCAAGCAAAGGCTTCTGGGTGGAGACTCCAGAGGAAGCTTTGGGACAGGTCTCCCAGCCTCAGCCTGGGGGCAAGGGGAGTGGAGGTGACAGCCATCTTGTTGGCAGTCTCCCTCCCTGGTGGCTCTGCTCACACATGGTTAATGATTAATGAGGCCAGGGTGGCAGGGCAGTACCCAGCTGCCACTTCCTGCCTGCTCTGCTGAGTAAACAGGGGCCCTTGCCTGAGAGCTGGGCTGGAAACCTGTTCTCCAGGGAAGGGCACTGCGTCCCTGAGTCACTAGGCAGGGGAGGGCTGGGCTCTCCACACACCCCCACCCAGCCATGCCACCCCCACTTGCTGACGACATCGTGGGTCCTGGGGTGCCTATTAGCAAAGCTGCCATTTTCCCCAGGGTCCTGGCAGGAGGCTCCCATCCCAGCAGCTATTGCGGAGGCTAGAAAGAAGCAGGGAACAGAGGCGTGGGGATGACCTGACTTTAATGGCACAGTCCAAGCCCCAGCGCAGTGGCAGGACAGACAGCAAGCTATGCAAAGCATCTGAGAAGTGCAGTGGCACAAACAGCTCCAGGAGATTGGCCTGCCTCTCCCCATCCCCCAAGCGGATGACTAGGCTCCATGCCCAGGAAGCCTAGGCCAGCCCAGCCCCATTTCCCAAACCTCAGAACGAATGCACAGGAGCCTGGGCCAAGCCTGGCTTGCAGCGCTGGTGACTGCAGATGTAGCTGGAACCAGGGTAGCAGTCCAACTCTCAAATTCAGAAACCACGGGCCTTAACTGCCTACTCGGGAAGTGAAGAGTCATCCTGTAAAGGTGTGTAGCTGGACAGAGGTCCACGACTCGATCCTTACTTCCTCCCCACCCACAACCCCCACCCCGAGGGCCCCTACACCTTTCCACAAGATCCCATAGGGTCATGCTTCCTGGGCCTGGCAAGGGCCCCTTCAGGTCTCGCCTTCAGCGGTGGAGGGAAAGGATTGTGAACAGCAAATGGCCAGACGGCGAGGTGGCAGTTAGCAGCAGCACAGAGGGAAGGCAGCAGAAGCAGAAGCACTCACAGAGCTGACAAGAAACCGTGCAAGGAGACTGTTTATTTCGAAAGGATTTTGCAATGAACTCCAGGAGCTGATCTCTACTCTTCCCCCTCATCCTCGTCCTCATAGGAATCGATGCCCACCTCCTCGTAATCCTTCTCCAGGGCAGCCATATCCTCTCGGGCCTCAGAGAACTCGCCCTCTTCCATGCCCTCACCCACATACCAGTGCACGAACGCCCGCTTGGCATACATCAGGTCAAACTTGTGGTCCAGGCGCGCCCAGGCCTCGGCGATGGCGGTTGTGTTGCTCAGCATGCACACAGCACGCTGCACCTTCGCCAGGTCACCCCCAGGCACCACAGTGGGTGGCTGGTAGTTGATGCCAACCTTAAAGCCCGTCGGGCACCAGTCCACAAACTGGATA